TAATAACTTTTACTAGATAATGATGAGAGTAAATATTACATGAATCTGTAGCATTTAAATTTACTTAACAAATGTTAGTGCAAACTGTTTACAGGATTTTCTTTAGTAAATCTTACAAGTCATTTTTTACAGTGTGTGTATCACGAACTTGTGAGTTACAGTTTCGTATTAGACCATCTCATGATGAAAATAATAACAGCAGGAGTTTTGCATATTTGAATAAAATAAAAGCTGTGATCAACACTAGAGCACCAACAGCTCAGCCCCTGCACTGAGTCTGCTGGGAGCTAAAAATATCTGACTGAAACAGACCTTTGAATTAAGGAGGGAGCGTCTCTGGAAGACAAATACATGCAGCTGGTTGCTCAAGTTAAAAATATATTTGTTACAGTGAAAATAATCATTATGTGTCTCTATGCTCATCATGTCCAAACAAAGCTGAACGCAGAGAGGTTTGTGATTCCTTTGGACAAGGAGAGAGTTAAACAGTAGTTATAGGATCACACATACAACCCTGTGATGACAGCTTTGAGACCATTAACCATGGATTTTAAAGAAAGCTGGATTGACATTTCAGTGGGCAAGATAAAGAAATCATTATTCACACCGTGATGGTTTCAACTGGACTGACATTCACAGCAGAAATCACAAAAAGTCTTAGAAAGGTTACCAGATGTGACAAATTCAGTCGGTGTTTAACCCGTGTCAGCAGGTCACACAGAGGCTAAACTTAAACTAACTGTCACGTCACAAATACAGGCTGTGTGTTGTTATTAGTGTTAATGTCTATGTTTAAGATCTGATTACATGGTCCACTCACCTGTTGTCATCTGTGTATGTGTGTGTGTCCTTTTGGAAAATAATCAAGGTATTTTCTGTGAGTTATTGATCACAATGAAGTATTTTACAGAAAAAGCTAAGGGAGTGTTCACAAATCACTTAGAAAAAGTCAATAAAACATGACAACCATGCCATTCTCCAATTAAACAAGTATCTTCCCCTTTACCCTTTAATAAATAAAGAAGTGAGCAGTAAATAACACAGGTCAGAATGTCAAATGAGCAGAGTCTAAACAAATAAAATAAATGTTTCATCAGTAAAGAGTTCCTGTTTTAGTCCTGTGAGGATATTGTTTTTAGAATCGTAAAACATCTTAAGTTAAATATTTGCTCATAAATTAATTTTTTTCAGGAGTTGATATGGTGTTATTAGCTAGATTTTCTTCAATAATTTTATAGTTAAACTAGAAGCACTGGGAGAGTGCAAACCTCCACCAAGTCCAATTTCCTCCATCCTGTAAGAGTTAATGCACAAAAGCAGAGATGGAAACA